CGAAAAACCCGAAAACCCAAAACCAATAACTTCACCTCTATTTTAGATCAGTTCCTGAATAAATATAACCTATCAGCCGAATCAAACCCACTTCAATTACGTACTCATGCTGATGAGCTTGGTACTATGCTACCAGATTGGAAGGCTCGTAAAGATGTGAAAGAAGCTCTTCACCGGCGCCTATTCAAAGACAATCAAATAGAAGCTCTGGTTCCGAACAACAAAAAGAAAAGGCTTACTATCAAGGAAAGAGCTCAATATTGTGCAAAAACCGGAGATGTGTGGGATATTTACTTACATGCTTTAGACTTAGCTGAAATAAAAAATGACGCTGATAAGGAGATTGTAGCATCCAGTTCCCGTCTTTCGCAATTTCGTAAAGAGTTAGCAGAAGCTGGAGTTGATCCTGAGCAAATCAATATATATGCCAAATTACCAAATATTACTCAAGCTTCTAACAAAATTCAGAAGAGAAAACTTGAACAGGGATTAATCAGTCGACCTAAAACGCCTAAACACTTCTCCTTAGAAGAGGGGCTTAGAAGACTTCAAAATATTCGTACTACTGAGACCCCCACTCTACAAGATCTCGCAGATGTGATCATGATGTTGAGCATGAGACCTGCCGAAGCAACTACTCTCCGCATTATCTATTATGAGCCTGACGAATCAAATCCTTCGGAATGGTATAATCCCGATTACTCTTGGTATTGTACTGGGTATATTAAAAATAAAGGAGAAGCAAAAAACAATTCTGAACCTAGACCGTTTCTATCCATGGAAAAGAATCCAGAACGTGCAAGAGAATTGCTTACCTGGATTCAAAATGCAATAGCGATTGGAAAGTTGCGCGATCCTGTCTATAGTATTAATGGAAAACGTAGTACAGGTGTATTTAGTAAATTTTTAAAGCCATATGGTATTACAGCTAAAAGATTAAGAAAAATCGGAGGTAAACATGCTTCTAGAGTTCATGGTGGTCAAAATTCAACTTCACAACATCTCGCTTTCCTCAGCAGGATTGCAATGAGGCATAAGATGGATCGTCATGATTCTGGAATGTATTATGCCGAGGGTGATACTTCCGATTCTGATCTTGACTCAAATCTAGAGCCTGAACCCAAAACTCAAACTTTCACACCCAAGCCAATTAATGAGAATACTTCCGAAATTGAGGATATCTATGACTTATATGGGAGTATCTAGATTAGTTCGCTATAACCCAGCTTTGTCCCTTTGGGCCTGCTTTGCAATAAATCTATCTGGAAATAATCGGACCTATTAGATATTTTTTAAGTAAAGTTATATATGCAAACCAACTTACTAACCGCACTTACCCATAAGTTAAAAATCGTCTGTAATTGCCATCGAAGATCTAGCGATCCTGGCTCATACTAATTAATTCGTGAATGAACAGATCGCCAAATCCGAAATTGTTTTTTTAATCTGCAAATTAGGTTTGTTAGTCTCTAAAATGTTTAATGTATAAAAATGAGCTAAGTATATAATTAACTGCAATACTTATCTGTCTATAACCCTTTATACCGTATTCTAACTCTCAACCATAAAAAATTTTATTCTTGGATATGTCTACTAACCCAACACCTAAAAATGTTTCATGTCTTAAAAACCTTGCTTTAAATATCCTTAAAAACGGTGTCCCAGAGGTTATTACAAAAGGTGTTGAAGTTCCAGAACTAGATCCATGCTCAAAGTGTAAAGAAGAGCTTTTTTTGTACGAACTTAAAAAACCATTTACCATACTCATCTGTGGACATATATACCACCGTAGTTGTCTTGAGGATTATGTAAAAGATCTCCCACAATGCCTGAATGTGCAATGGAAATTGAATCTATTGGTTATGCGCGTTATTCTGGTACTTCTGAACCTAGTTCACAGGATCGGGCACAGAATACCTCAGACCCAATGCAAATTTCACCACAAATGACATCTAGTCAAAACCAGAATACAGTAACCCCATATACATCTCTTATTTTTAACCCTACCTTATCATATGACCCAACATTGTATCCAAATTATGTAGACCTTACCAAAAACAAAGAGCCTAAATCTAAAAAAAGACTACGTGAAGAAAGTGCAAAAAAAGAGCCTCCAAATCTAAAAAAATTAATAGATGAATTATCTACTAAAGATCCGAATTCTGCAAAAAATAATATTTTTACACAATCGGTAGCGATACCAACCACTGAAAATGATCCCGATCCAGTTAATTTTCTCAACTTATATAAAGAACTTATTAGTGCTGAAGATGATAATAGAAAATCGAACCAAGAAGTTATTAAAAGATATTATAATTTTGGATTAAATCTTACGAAACGCCTAGAATACCACAAGAAATCTCACAAAAAGCAAGTTGCCAAAATTCTAGTAAATGACGAAGTTAGAAATCAAATTTCCAAAGAGGTTAGTGATGACGCACTTAGAAAGAAAACAGAACGAGCACGAAAAATTTACAAACTTTTTGATGCCATTGGTGAGGATAAAATGGTACGAGTTAGATCTTTTACAGCGTTAACAATTTCTAAGTTAAGTAAGGAAAATATCAATCATGTAATACTTAGCATTATAAATAAATCAAAATGATCGGTTATTACTGCGCCATTGTCACGTGATACTGTGTCCTCGAGGTCACAGTCTATATTACATTTTTTTCATGAATTTAGATTTTCTTGCAGTTTATAAACGCCCTACCCACACACAAGTTCATGTAAATTGTAATTCGTGGCTTTGCTACTCCAGAATAAAGTTAACGTTTTTCTGTAATATCGATATATATTAAATTGGCAATAAATTCGAAATGTCATATATAGAGGTTTGGCCTTATCGTTATGAGGCTTATCACTGTATAGTTTGTTTGGAAACGGGTCACAAACATAAATACCACTTATTACGGGTTTGTATATAAAAAATTTAGCCACGTATTTATTATTTTTTCTGTTAATACAGTAATATATAACGATGGAAAATCGGAATAACACACCTGCATATAAAGAAAAACAAAATCACTTTGAAAAGTGGCATATCTTTAGAGGGTGGAAGCACGGGTGTAAGGTTTGTGACGAATACGATCATCATTCACACCTATATTGTAAGACATGCAAAAAAGTAGCAGAGGGAATATATAAGCGATGTGAATGTGAAATTTTCTAAGAAAAGAAGCGAGAAGTGAAAACTTCATAATTTCATAACGGTTTCAAGTTCCTGATTCATCTATTATATCCTCGAATAATTCGTATCACACCCCTTCAAGAATAAATAGTTTTTTTTTTCATACACTTGAATAACAATCAAAAAATTCGAATAAAAATTCTGCATGCAGGAACTGTAACCCGATTTTGTGATTTATTAAAATTTCGATTTAATTTATTTCTTTAAGGGTAGGGTGTACAAATTTCCAATTTCATATAAAATAGATTGTACATCAACTTTGTGTATATGATATCATA